AGCTGTTGATTTTCTCCCGACAAGAAAGGGGGGGGGGAAGTGGTTGATTTCCCCCGAAAAGGGGGACATGCTTGGTTGATTTCCCCCGAAAAGGGGGGACATGCTTGGTTGATTTCCCCCGAAAAGGGGCGGCATGCTTGGTTGATTTCCCCCGAAAAGGGGACATGCTTGTTTGATTTCCCCCGAAAAGGGGGGACCATGCTTGGTTGATTTCGCCCCGAAAAGGGGGACATGCTTGGTTGATTTCCCGAAAAGGTGCCTTGGTTGATTTCCCCCGAAAAGGGGGGACATGCTTGGTTGATTTCCCCCCGAAAAGGGGGACATGGTTGGTTGATCTTCCCCCCGAAAAGGGGGGACATGGCTTGGTTGATTCCCCCCGAAAAGGGGGGACCATGCTTGGTTTGATTTCCGCCCCGAAAGGGGGGGGACATGCTTGGTTGATTTCCCGCCCCCGAAAAGGGGGCATGCTTGGTTGATTTCCCCGAAAAGGGGGGACATGCCTTGGTTGATTTCCCCCGAAAAGGGAATGCCTTGGTTGATTTCCCCCGAAAAGGGGGGACATGCTTGGTTGATTTCCCCCGAAAAGGGGGGACATGCTTGGGTTTGATTTTCCCCGAAAAGGGGGGACCATGCTTGGTTGATTTCGCCCCGAAAAGGGGGGGCATGCTTGGTTGATTTCCCCGAAAAGGGGGGACATGCTTGGTTTGTTCGCCCGAAAAGGGGGGACCATGCTTGGTTAATTTCCCCCCCGAAAAGGGGGGACATGCTTGTTAATTTCCCCGAAAAGGGGGGACATGCTTGGTTAATTTCCCCCGAAAAGGGGGGACATGCCCTTGGTTTAATTTCCCCCCGAAAAGGGGGACACTGCTGGTTAATTTCCCCCGAAAAGGGGGGACATGCTTGGTTTAATTTCCCCCCGAAAAGGGGGGGGACATGCTTGGTTAATTCCCGCCGAAAAGGGGGGGCATGCTTGGTTAATTTCCCCCGAAAAGGGGACATGCTTTGGTTAATTTCCCCCGAAAAGGGGGGGACATGCTTGGTTAATTCCCCCCCGAAAAGGGCGGGGACATGCTGGTTATTTCCCCCCGGGGGGGCTGCTGGTTAATTTCCCCGAAAAGGGGGGACATGCTTGGTTAATTTCCGCCCCGAAAAGGGGGACATGCTTGGTTAATTTCCCCGAAAAAGACATGCTTTGGTTAATTTCCCCCGAAAAGGGGGACATGCTTGGTTAATTTCCCCGAAAAGGGACATGCTTGGTTAACTTTCCCCCGAAAGGGGGGACATGCTTGGTTAATTTCGCGCCCGAAAAGGGGGACATGCTTGGTGTAATTTCCCTCCCGCCCGAAAAGGGGGGACATGCTTGGTAATTTCCCCGGAAAGGGGGGAGCATGCTGTGGTTAATTTCCCCCGAAAAGGGGGGGTACATGCTTGGTTAATTCGCCCCCCGAAAAGGGGGGAGGCATGCCTTGGTAATTGCCCCGAAAAGGGGGGTAGGCATGCTTGGGTTATTGCCGCCGCGAAAAGGGGGGACATGGCTTGGTTAATTCCGCCGAAAAGGGGGGAGCATGCTTGGTTAATTCCGCTCCGGCCGAAAAGGGGGGGACATGCTTGGTTAATTTCCCCCGAAAAGGGGGACAGTGCTTGGTTAATTTCCCCCCGAAAAGGGGGGACTGGCTGTGGTTAATTTGCCCCCGAAAAGGGGGGACATGCTTGGTTAATTTGCCGCCGCCGAAAGGGGAGGCTGCTTGGTTATTCCCCCGAGGGGGGGCTTGGCTTGGTTAATTTCCCCCGCGGGGGGGGCCTGCTTGGTTAATTTCCCCGAAGGGGGGACATGCTTGGTTCACAGCTCGAGCGCGCAAAAAATACAATATGCAGCATGCAGGGGCTTATAGGACATGAAATGTGGAGAGATGATGGAGTGAGTTTATAGTACATGCGGTCTGTCCTCTCAGGTGTATTAATGCTGACTGTGTGGATGTGGATGGTAAGCACAGCCGTCTTCATTGCTCGGCACTACAAACCCTGCTGGCCTGACACAACTCTGCTGGGACAAAGGCTGTGGTTTCAGGTGAGAGCCCCAATACACCTCTGACAGTGACAATAAAGAACATGAGACATGCATGTCTGCAAAGTAATTCACAGAGTTTTAATAGACAAATTATTTGTTTTCATCCTTCTATCTCTGCTAGATAGAACACAATAGTAATCCAGTCTTCATCAAATCTTTATAGTCCCCCTCCCTCTTTTTCCTCTCTGTAGCTCCATCGAACCATGATGGTCTTGGCTGTGGTCCTAACTGGTGTTGCGTTCACCCTGCCTTTCATATACAGAAGGGGATGGAGCAAGGTAAGTGTGTGTGTCTGTGTGTGTGCTTGTACCCCTCAGGCCTGTCCACCTGTTCCCTCCATCTGTCTAAACTGGCTTCTTGGCATCTCTAAATCTTTCTCACTCACTCACTCACTCATCTCCACGACACTCATTGTCTCATCATGACTTGTTCCTTTTTGTCAGTGGAGCTCAGGCTGTGTGTACTAGTAGAAACTAGTAGAAAATACAAGTTATAAGGACTACAATTTGCAGTAGCAGATATTCCTGCTGCCCTCTGCTGTAAAGCCTCTCTCAGGATACACACAGGATATCTCATTATGTAATAGGCAATTTGTCTTTGTATATACATGTTTTCATTTTACTGACCCATTAACTTCTCCTGTCTATCACAAGAGAAAGAGTGGTAATTTACATATTCAGCTCTGATTGTGTATTTTCTCTCATTGCCACTGTACTGACACACAATGAAGTAGTTCATTTCCTGAGTGATGTGCTTTCACACAATATTTTCAGTCCACAATGAATGGCATCCTGACGTGTCTAAGTCTGACTGTATAAATAGCTAAATGGGTTGATCCTAAACTTTGGAGTGATCCACCCTTTAAGTGAGGGAAAAATGTAGAGCACATTGATTTTTGACAGGGAA